CCTGAAGACAATGGGTATTCTTATTGCTACTACCTTAGGTTTACTTTAACTGGTTTAGAACTTCAAATCAATGGAATCATATGACAGGTACTCTTTTGTGCCTGGTTTCTTTCATTCAACATGATACATACATGCTCTCCTGTCTATCAGTCATTTATTACTTTTTTTAGTGAGTATTCTATTATATGAATATATCACACTTTGTTAATCTATTCAGCTGTATCCACCATTGCACAGACACAGGATATTTAGGGATGAATCTTTGGTATCATGCATAAATGTACAAGGCACAGGCTGCCCTAGATTCTCATATCCTGTTCATGCAAGAGGAGGGTGTGTCCCCAATATATTATAGCCAAAGTACATATCTTAATACCTTTATTTAAAGACTCATATCTAACATTCATTATGTTAGTTAACACACCACTAATTTTTGACAGTAAAAACCCAATATCTGATGCTCTATGTTATTTAACAAAGTTGAGGTATTGATCAAGATGGATAGCTGAATTGTAGTTTCCTCTTGTGGACTTCTCTTACAATGCAAGCTGACCACTCCCGGAATTTGCTTTTTTGAGTAGGAAAATTCACTCTCCTTAGAATTAAAGCTTAATTTAAATGGCACACATACTTGATACCATATTGTCTATGTGGCAAAGGTTTTAATATAAATTACACATCTTAACACTTTGATATATTTGTTCTTACTTTGTCAGTAACATAATTTTGTAGACAATTGTTGGGGCAAGTTCTGAAGATCTATAAGCCATGTAGCTATAATCCCTTCTAATTAGTTATTCCAGAGATTTTTAAGTTTAAGATTTAGAGAGATTCTGTCATAAAAGAATATTAAAATATTGGAAAGCTTACTCAGTAACTTATGAAGAAAATTCCACTATTTTATTGCTTAGTATCAAATACCTAACACGTTCCATACACATTTCCAGTCTTTTTAGCACATTAACAAAGTCATTAGGATGATTAGACCTCCATATACAATCCCTATGGGGATATCTAAGACAAGGAAACTTTTATTTAGTAAACAAATGCACTAAAACATGACTATAAAAGATAGATTTTAAAATATGTTCTATGTCTCGTGATGTGTTCAAATTCTGTTTTGTGACCTGTTTCATATAACAGGATATTAAAATTGACCTTTGTATTAGTTTTCTATGGCTGTCATAACAAAACACCATAGACTGGGTGGCTTCAATAACAGAAAACACTTTTCTCACACGCTGAACTCTAAGTCCAAGATTAAGGTGTTGGCGGGTTTAGTTTCTTTCAGATCCTCTCCTTCCTTGGCTTGTAGATGGCTGCCTTCTCACTGCGTCCTCACATTTCCCTTCCTCTATGCCATGCATGTCTGTGTCCAAGTTTCCTCTTCTTGTAAGGGCACCAGTCCAATTGGATTAGGACCTACCCATGTAACCTCATTTTACCTTAATATCTTTTTAAAGTCCCTGTCTCCAAATACAGTCACATTCTGAGGTACTTGGGTCAACATATGAATTTGGGGGGTGGGCAGAATTCAGCTAATAACAACCCTGTAAGCAAAGAAATGTAAAGTTCATAAATAAGACATTTGAGACCTCCCCTGATTGAATTTTCCTCTAATTTCTGGTGCACAAAGTTATTATATATAATTTTAGTGAAAAAGTTTCCCACTTTCTCTTAACGTATTTTTAGAGGACCTTCAAATATTCATTCAGAAATCATTCATAAAAGCTATTTTTCACACTTGACTTCTTTATCCTCTACTATATCAGAGCATGGGATGTCCTCAATTTTAATTTCATCCTTTTCTGTAAGTAAATCTTAACTTATTCTTGGTATTTCATCCCCCCAGTTTTCCCTTTTCCCATTCTCTTTTCTGTCTGAGTATTCACTTTTTAAAACTTTCCTGCCTTGTTCTTTTGTTTAATGAGATCTCACTTTTGCAGAGCTTAACCTGCTTCACTGACTTGGTGTTCCCTGGGACTCCTTCTTTACTGCCCATTCAGCAGAATCGACCTTCCTTTGGGGTATCTGTTTGGTAGGTGTGGTGGGTACGTGAGGGAGGGAGGGGACTTCAGCCTTTGCACAAAGAGGCAGCGAGAATTCCCTCCCTTCCTATGTGCTCAGCTTTCTTGGTTGTTTCCTTTTACATTTGTCTCTTAAGCAGTATGTAGCAAGATCTTTTTTTTTGATTCAGCCAAATATGTCTTTATATGCTTTGATTACTGATATATTTGAACTTTGTTATTTTTTCTATCACAAATTTGGTTTTATTTCAATCTTTCAATCTTATAGAAACACAAGTTAACATACATTATATATATTTGCTTTAATTCTATATCAAATATTTCTCCCTGATCATTTCTAGGTCTTCATTGTCACTATTAGGAACTCGTTTCTAATTTTCTGATTTTGCTCCATATACCCCAGTTTTCTTTTTTTGCTTTTTTAGTCTGTCGTCTGTTGCATTGATAAAGTCTTCCTTTTTCTTCTTTCTGATTTATAAACTGTACAATGCATTTCAATTCTTTTGACAAATATCCTTAAATTTCATATATACCTAACTATATATTTTTCTATGCTCGATGTTATTGTCTAACATCTCCCCTTGTATATACCACTCTTCCTCCTTGCATGTACTTATTCTCTTGCTATCTTTGGAATTACCTCAGTGACTGGTTGGAGCAGATTACACACCAGTTATATGTCAGGATATTAGTATCAAAGAAAATTTATCAAATCAGCTGAGAAACTACAGTTCCAATGCACATCAAGGACAAGAATTTTAAAGACTCACAATAATCAGAACATGAATAAACTGCATTCTTCCTCAGAACCTTTGTTCCTGATCTTCCCTTTGCCTGGAATGATTTTCATCTACCAGCCTTATGACTTGTCCCTTCACTTCTTCCTTGTCTCTGCTCCTAGAGAAATGTGCATGTGTGAATAAAGAGGAATGCTCAAAAGGATTTATTGCAGTGCTGTATTTTACAGATAAAAATTTCGACATCTTAAGTGCTCATCAATAGAGGAAGGGCTGTATGAACAGTAGTATATCCATAATATGGCCACAGTGGAGCAGAGGGACCTCTATGTGTTACTATAGTAGGGCATACAAGATTGATTATCGAGCTTACAAAGTAAGTTACAGAAAGGTATGCACAATCTGTATCATTTCATATTAAATTAAAACCCATAAATAAAATACTATACATTTTCTATGGATTCATATTTTTGGTATATATATAAATCTGTAGTAAAACACTCGGATGCATCAGTTCCAAGTTGATTAATGATGGAAAGATTAAATTGGGAGTGGTAGTCAAAGGAGATTTTAGTCTATATGCAAAGTTTTATTACTTTAGCAATTCATGTATTCACAAATTCATTCCAATGTTAAAATTAATAAAAATTCATAAAAGTAATCATAAAGATTTACCCATTTTGTCCCCTATTCTCACCAAAAAAGAGGGAAAGGAGAGAGTGGAATTTTCTTCAAAAGATTTTGTCCAAACACCCCAAGTGTAAGCATTTCTCTCTCCTCTGGCATCCTACAGCTTTCAGTTTTCACTCCCCTTAAGGTCTTGCTCTTCGATTTACTATAGTCATGTATATTCTTGTCTTCTCCAGTAAACTATAAACTACTGTCTCATTCCTTTTATATATTCTTAAGACCTAGTAAATTACCCCATTAATGGTAAAATTTCAGCAAATATTTATGGATTTATTTTGAACTAAGTAAAAGAAATCAAACAGCACAAGATGAGAATTGCCAAATTATTTTTAAATTAATTTCCATCAAATGCTGTTGTAAAAGTAGAAATCAATTTATTTTTAACCCCTACTTAATCTAATCAGGTATTTTGTTTTCTGACCATCTGCATTCCATTCATCAGGAACCACAGTGAATGTTGCTAGGGTTGTGCAATTGCCAAGTTGTTGGTCTGAAGTGGTCTTCGTTGAAGGCTACAGTCCACTAGGTGGCACTCTAGGCTTTACAACAAAGGAAGCTCCCAGAGGGTTGAATAGAAGAGAGGAGACCAGAGAGCATGTGAGCCAATCAAATTATAGAAAGCAAAGGTGGGGAGAGGGGGAACAGTGTTTGCGTAAATTTACTTCAGGTTTTCAGTTCTGTTATTCTATATAAACCTCGGAAAGCTGGGACCATAACTCTATAAATCCATTGTGAGTATGATTCTCTGAGCAGAGGTATGGGAATAGGAATATAACTGGGCTCAGTGAGCAGGGGAGCTCACCAGAAAACATCTCCATTACCCGTTTTCAATTTTTTAATTTTATGACTAAGGTTTGTGAAATCCATGGACCTAGAAATTGTTCTGATGCCCGTGATATCCTACCTTTTCATATATCTACCCTGAAAGTAGAAGCAAAAAGAATAAAGAGGAGAAAAGAAGAAATGATAAAAAAAAATAATAAGAAACATGAATAGAAGGAGGAAAAGAAAAGAACAATATTTAACTTGTCCAGCAATGTGTGGGCTGGTCAGAATTAACTGTGTGGGTCTGGACAGGAGAAGGGGGGAGGTGGAAATTAAGTCAGAGTGGACATTATACACATATCTTATTTTTCATCAACTGAACTCTTTTTGGAATCATTTTTCATGCAGATGATGACTGTATGTGTTGGGTTTCTAGAACTCTCTTGATTTCACGAAAATGCATTTTCTTGTTCAAAACACAATACATGCTATTAGACTGTTTTCCTTTATCAGAATTTTTATGGGACTTCATTCTTAATTGTATGTTCAGCTGTGCAACTTTGGAAATGGTGTCACTGTTCCTAGGCTCTTCTTAAAGGCTTCGTGATTCTTCAAGGCTTTACTAACCCAGTGGAGACACTGATTCTTTTCAGAAGTATGATTCCCTCTTCTTCATGCAGTAACCCACAAACTTCTCGTACATAAAATCTTTTAAGGAAAGGGACTTTATAACTTCATATATTGGAAATATTGCCCTTACTGCCCTGCGCTATTGAGCCCACACTTTTGGAGAGATCTCTGTGCAGTCTCACCAGGACACTGTGGGTGGAGTCTCCTGTTCAGCGAATGACGGAGCTCAGATGTGATTGGTGCTTAGTGATTCTGGTGGAACACACTGACTGTGAGAGCAAAATTTGCCTGGACCCAAGACTTTACACCCTCCTGAATAGGCGCGAAGGCACCCAGCAACTGGGCAAAGAGTCATGAAGAGACACTGGGGAGCTCTGCTGGGGTTTCTGTGGCTTCAGGTTTGCTGTGAGTTGGGGCCTTCCAGATGGGGGACTGGGGAGTGTTCCACAGCTGGCGGTGGGAGGAGGGATAGGAGAGCTGACACAGAGCTCCTAGATGGTCCTACATCCTCATGGGTGTTTCCAGGGATATTTTACACATTTAGAAACTGCATCAGTGACTCCCCAGTGACATAATTTGTGTTTGCTTTTCTCTTTCCAAGCAGGGGTGCGAGGGGTGAATGTGGAGCAGAGTCCTTCAGCCCTGACCCTCCAGGAGGGAACCAGCTCCACTCTGAGGTGCAATTTTTCTACCACAGTAAACAATGTGCAGTGGTTCAGACAGAATCCTGAGAGCGGCCTCATCAATCTATTTTTCACAGCTTCAGGGACAGAGCAGAAAGGAAGATTAAACTGCACAGTGAATTCTAAGGAACTGTACAGTACCCTGCACATCACCTCCTCCCAACTGGAAGACTCAGCCACCTACCTCTGTGCAGTGAGGCACAGTGCTCCCAGGTGATCTGCAGCCTGTGCCCAAACTGCAGCTGGGCCTGCAGCCCCACCCCTTCCATGGGGTGGGTATGTTGTTTCCACAGGAGAATGTGCATACCTTTGGGTTTTCAGATTCATGTTCTGGTACTTTTTTCCCTCCTGAAATTAAACCCTTCAGGACTGTAATTTCATTTTGGTGTTTTTTTGTCCTTTTTCTTCCCAGAAGCCCCTTTACAGGTAAAAAGGTCTAATATGGACCAATGGAAGCAACTGACGAAGATGCTAATATCTAATTCCCTATTAAAACATACCCCCTGGCAGATAGCTTATGAATTATATGTAAGTTTCTCTGATTGAAAAGGTTTAAGAAAGTGAAAAAAAGACTATGGTGGTCAACAAATGGAAAGAGATGACTTAGTTTTTCAGTTAACTGCAGACAGTTCTACTTTCAAGGAAAAGGAACGAGAGCATGTGTAATGTTTTTCAAAGATTGGATTCAACTTTTCCACTCCTGGAAATAACATATATGACAGAAATATTTTTTTGAGAGTCAAGCACTCTATTTAGCTTATTACAGACATTATATATTTCAGTACTGATACCCTGTAAATAAGTACTTTCTCTTATTTTATGCATGAATAAAGTGAGGACTGTGGAGCATAAGTGACTAGCTTGAGCTCACATTATTACTGAATTGAAGGTGGAGTGACCTCAGAGCTTACACTTTGAACTGCCAGAAATAGAAGATTCTTCAGAATCACAAAATTGAAATGATTTGTATTGATCGATTTGTAAAATGTGTTTACTTACATCACTGACCAAAATACCCATTTATGTCATTTCTAAATAGCACCTAGTATGGAAGAGCTCATGGAAATTTTCATTCGGTTCCATTAAAATTCATAGCTCTTCCTTCCATTTTGAATGAATCTATTACTAATGATTTTGTAACATCATTCGCAGTTTCGAAAAGGGAGCAGAAAGCTTCCAGGACCACCCTAATAGAAACCTTTGTCTGTTGTAGCCAGAGACAGACTTTGACAACCAAACCTGAAGTTTGAACTTGCTTGTAGAAATGTTACAATGCAAATCGAATTCCAACCTGAACTGTCTTTTACGTTAATGAAAGGCCTTTGATAGGAATGATGATCCTGAAAATTAAGATAAAGACAAATGGCTAGAGTCTAGTAAAGCTGGGAGCAAGGCCAGCTTCTTGGGCATGTGCCCTGTGCAATTGCAGAAGGAACTCTGCCCTTGGCTTAATGCTTTATTATCACCGTCTTGAAATTCTTAATAATTTTATCTTTGTAGTTGTGTTTTGTATGTGAAATCCCATAAGAGGATGGACCATGTGTGTGAACACGGGGTAGCAGGACACAGGACAGGAACACAGGCAGGCCACGTTCATGGTCACAGCAGGCAGTATGTGAGCTGAGTGGTCGACAAGGTCACCTGTTATGCCTGTGCATACTTTGGACTATCTGGGGCTCTGACATGTAGCAAAGGGTTGCAGTAAACTTTATTGCTAAATTATTGGAAAATGAAAGTGTATCCATAGACATTTCAATAGAGTAGTTTGACAGTTTCTTACACAACTAAACATATTCTTTCCATACTATCCAACAATGACATTCCTCCATATTTACCCAAAGGAGTTGAAAAGTTATGTCCACACAAAAATCTGCACACAGATGTTTATAGCAGCTTTATTAATAATTTCCAAAACTTGGCAGTAGCCAAGATGTCCTTCAAAAAGTGAATGTATAAACAGTGGTACATTTAAACAATGGAATATTTTTCAGTGCTAAAAATAAATGAGCTATCAAGCCATGAAAAGATAGGGGAACCCTAAATGCATGTTATTAAGTGAATGGAGTCCATCTGAAATGGCTATATACTGTATAATTCCAACTATATTTACATTATGGAAAAGGCAAAATGGAGACTAGAAAAACCAACAGTTTCCAGGAGTTGGGGGGAGTGGGAAAGATAATAGGATTTTGAGGGCAGTGAAACTACTCTGTATGATACTATAGTGATAGATACATGCCATTATACATTTGTATAAACCCATAGCATGTACAACACCAAAAGTGAACCCTAAGGTAACCTATGGACTCTGGGTGATTATGACTTGTCAATTTAGGTTCATCAATAGCAAGAAATGTGCCACTCTTCTGGGTAAGTTGATAATGTGAGAGGCAATCCAGGTGCAGGGGCAGGAGGTGTATGGGAAATATGTACCTTCTTAACTTTTCCGTGAACCAGAATGGCTGGGAAAAAAATCTTTAAAAGAATTAAATTTGAATATATGAAACCAATTTGTGCGAAGAATTAAAGCGTAGAAAAATGGTTTCACTAAAAACATTATATAGTGACACGTTTTCCCTGTGTTTTGAATAAGAGATCCCAAATTTTCAATTTGTGCTTGATCTCAAAAGTTATATAGCCAGCCCTGTCTGGGAATTTTGAACACTGAAGCTAAACCGTCAAGGAGAAAGCCAGAAGCCAGTAAGCACTTAGGCTGTTTTAGAAAGTGCTTCTTGCGTTAACGTTAGTAAGCTCATCTGCCTCCTCTAGGTTCTCCCACTTGCTAAGATGTTCTTTCTTTTTTTTCCCTGCAAGATATATAACATATATTACAGATACATTTATAAGAAATGTCTCCAGAAGAACATGCTGTTTACCTGTGGCTCAGCCATGGAGCCACCTCGATCTCACTGCCTGTATTGATCTCTGCACTCAGTGAGTAAAGTTCCATTTATTCCACTTTAGTATAGATTTGGATTCTCTTTCATCCATCATTGATCTTATAGAAGAAATAAAAGCCCAGATAGGAACTTATCCTGAAGACCTTGTCTCTGCTTCTGAAGAGGACCAAAGGTTGATTAGGTACAACTTCAGACCCACTAGATTGCACGTAGATGTGAAAATGATCTGAGACGTCTATGATGCAGGCATTTTCTCCCCACTCTCACATGACTCCACATTGCACACAACAAGTCCTCAGTAAATATTTGTTCTGTTAAATAGTATAAATGAATTTTAGACCTAGAAGTGCCCTTAAAATCCTTTAGTCCAACTTCACTTACAAAGACAGAAACTATGTCCAAGTGTGAAACAATTAGACAGTAAATGAGCTGGGAATAGAAAGAAAATACATTTCCTCATCCTCCTTAGCATTCTTTTCTCTGCTTCCTTCCTGTAGGACCACACTGATCAGCAAAGTGAAACCATCTAATGCAAGCCCAGCCACTTAGGTCTCTGCAGTTTGGGTGGGAAGGTTGTGATCCAATCGATTCCATCTCTTGAATGAAGGACTCCAATTTGTGTAAAGGTGTGACACCTGAGGCAGGAAAGAAGACAGGCTGAGCCACTATTATTCTACTAGCAAACCAATCTACCACTCACTGCTTTCTGTAGAAGTAAAGCAACGTTGATGGCGCCCTCTCTACACTCACATGTATTTCTAAGAACTTTTCTAAAAATAGTAAATATACTCATTATTTCTGGTGGGCATCTTTTTAAAAAATTGAGTCATTTATCTTTGCATTATTGAATTTTAAGTGTTTCTTATGTATTCTGGATACAAGGCCCTTATCAGATGTACAATTTGCAAGTATTTTCTCCCAGTATATGGGCTGTCTTTGCACTTCTTTTTATTTTTGAATAAGTATTTCATTTTCTCAAGAAATTTATTTGAGGTCGTAATGGTTTATAACATTGTGTAATTTCAGGTGCACATTATTTATCAATTTCTGAATACATTCCATCGTGTTCGCCTCCAAAAGCCTAATTTTTGTCCATCGTCATACATGTGTGCCCTTTTATCCCTTTTGCCCACCCTCAATCCCCTTCCCCTCTGGTAACCACTAATCTGTTCTCTTTATCTATCTATTTGTTGTCCTCCACATGTGAGTGAAACCTTGCTGTATTTGTCTTTCTCTGTCTGGCATATTTTGCTTAACATAGTACCCTCAAAGTGCATCCATGTTGTTGCAAATGGGACAATTTTGTCTTTTTTATGGCTGAGTAGTATTCCATTGGTATACACATATACCACATCTTCTTTATCTATTCATTTGTAGAAGGGCACTTGGGTTGCTTCCACATTTTGGTTATTGGGAATAATGCTGCGATGAACACAGGGGTGCAGAAATTTCTTTGGATCATTCAAGTTCTTTGGATGTATATCCAGTAGAGGGATAGCTGGATCATATGGTATTTCTATTTTTAATTTTTTGAGAAATCTACATACTATTTTCCATAGTGGCTGCACCAGTTTGCATTCCCACCAGTAATGTCTGAGGGTTGCCTTTTCTCCACATCCTCTGGAATATTTGTTGTTATTTGTCTTGGTAACTATAGCCATTGTGACTGGTGTAAGGTGATATCTCATGCTAGTTTTGATTGGAATTTCCTTAATAATTAGTGATGTTGAACATTGTTTCATGTGTCTGTTGACCATTTGTATATTTTCTTTGGAAAAATGTCTGTTCATATCCTCAGCTCTTTTCTTGATCAGCTTGTTTGTTTTTTCATTGTTGAGTTGCATGAGTTCTTAATATATTTTGGAAATCAACCCGTTGTTGTCTAAATGATTTGCAAAGTTTTGTCCCAGTTGATGGGTTGCCTTTTTGTTTTGTTCATGGTTTCTGTTTCTTTGTAGAAGCTTTTTAGTCTGATGTAATCCAATTTGTCCACTTTTTCTTTTGTTTCCCTTGCCCGGTTAGACATGGTATTTGAAGAGATGTTGCTAAGAACAATGTGAAAGAGTGTACTGCCCATATTTCCTTCTGGGAGTTTTACGGATTCATGTATTACATTCCAATCTTTAATCCATTTTGAGTTAATTTCTGTGTGCATGATAATGGTATACTTTCATTCTATTGAGTGTGGCTGTCCAGTTTTCCCAACACTGTTTATTAAAGAGACTTTCCTTTCTCCATTTTATGTTCTTGGCTACTTTGTTGAAGATTAACTGTCCATATGTGTGTAGTTTTATTTCTGGGCTTTCAATTCTGTTCCATTGATCTGTATGTCTGTTTTTGTGCCAATAAAATGCCTTCTCTTAAAATTTAATTTTATTTTTTATTGCAGTAGTATTGGATTGTAACATTATATAGCTTTCAGGTGTACATCGTAATATATTTTGAATTCTGTGTAGATTACGTCATGTTCACCA